GACATAGCCAATGCATTTCTTCCGCTTCCTTGCATCCAGGTAATTAAACTACGAAAATCATTAAACATTAACAACAACCGCAAAAACACGAGCTGAATCTATGGCCGCTCTAACAGTGGATCTCGTCTTGCTTCTCACAAGCACACTTACACCGGCATTCACATCAGCATTGTCCCAAAAATATCCTTCAACGGAGGCTTTCTCCCAAAAACTTAATCGTTCCCTTCAGTCTCTTCAAATCAAAATACAAACTCTCGATGCTCGATAAAGGGAATCTTACAGAACTAATAACCAGAGTTATATCGGCATGCGCGATTAAACCCGACCTTAGGTCTTAGGCAAACAAGCTGTTCTATTTATTCCGCGGGTGATTTATATCGCTTGTGCCGGTAGATGGACATTCTACTCGATTTTCAAAAATCGTTATGGTAGTCTGCCCCTAGAGCTAGCGCGTAATGCAACATTGGTATGGAACATTTATTTAACTCTTGTTTAGTTTTTCGGCACCGATTTCGCCACTGTTCTGCGGGCAACATCTCTTATTCGAAGACAAAGATTTGCTTCCATAAAAAAATTAGTTATGTTCGCTTCTTTTCAATACTGTACAATGCGTACGGCAGACGTTAGGAAAGTACAGCGCCCGATAATTCTAGGAAACTCAATTAATTATTTTTGTGTTGGCCATAAAGAAAGCAGTAAACACCGGGACTTTAAACTTTGTGATGGGGTGACGATGAAATTTGGAACAAACCTTACCCGGCGCCTACTTTCATCGTGAAGTTGCATTGGGATTTTAAATACATGCGTTGCAATATCGTGTATTACACGATCTAGTAATAAATAACTTAGCATATATATTGTTGTATCATATACTTTTAATCTAGCCCAAAATCGTTATGCATAGATAACGGAAATACCACTTCGCCTCTTCTTGCTAACTTTTTCTCCTATATATGATAATGTTAAATAATAATCTTTATCTTCACTTCGTTGATAGCCATCTATTGTTTCTGTATCATCTAGTGATAATAATTATTACCACTATAGAGTATTAAATGAAATTAAAACTATCCAATTTTGAAGCGTATATGCGGAGAGTGCGTTGTATTTCTATATTCGCTGTGGCATGCTTTCGTGCAAATCGATCAAAATGATAAAATAGCACTAAAGGCACTTGAACACCCAACTTGTTGTAAGTTATGCGTCTGGTGATAACAGTTATTTTTCACTTACTTTTTTGCTATGTTCTTATGATGTGTTTACTTTTTGACTGAGGACTGCTTTTCCAATCATTACAAACATTTAGAAACAATAATAAACACAAACCTAAGGATTACTGTAATCGAAGAAACTGCATACTATTTATTAGTTACTAATTTATTATTAGACAACAATAAATCGATGTCAATTTCGTTTTGTCATGTCCATTAGGATATAATTTACATGTAAATATAATAAATACATAACAAATATATAACATATTCGGTTGTTTTTCAGTTTGTCATAGCAATGTCTTCAAAGACCAGCAAACGCGAGACGAAACCTATATGCGCTGACACAATTAGCCAACTGCATAATTCCTCTAAATAAATTGAAGACTGAAAAAAAAAAAGTAAATATGCCCTTGCAAATGGCTTCATGGAGAAATTTCAGGTGAATCCAACAAGGCTCACTTTGGCTAGATCTGGTAGTTAGGACAACAAACGGACAAGTCCTTGATGTTATACTGAAGAAATGATCCCGAGAGCTTGATCGTACAGAATAAGTAGCTGAACCGTTAAAAAGCGTTGCATGTACGCTAAGCAAAGGCCTGCTACGTTTCGCACTAGAATCCAGCTATCAGAAACGGTATTTAAAGACAGTATCGCAAATAAGTTTGAAACATTTTAGAACAACACCGAGAAAAACCATGTTGAATTCACCTTTGGCTAAGGATACCGTGTGGTTATATTTTTGACACTGTGCAAGATGCATACGTGTAGTGTCGTCCTATTAAATAGTAACAGTAACAATTTGAATCAAAACACAAACATAACGGAGTTGTAAGCTGAGCCTCGTCAGGTCGAACACAACTGGTGCCTACTTTCTCGACTAGTGAGCAGGACTTGTGGATTGACGTGTATTCACTCAGTTGATAAGCACTTATATAAATCCTATACCTTTAATTTGGTAAGCACACGTAATATTCGACACCTTTGTAAAAAAAATCTTTGCTGCACTAGTAGCTCAAGGCTGTCATGTTTGCAGAGAGTCGTACCTTTACCTTGCATGTCAGTTTTCGATCTGCAGTATGTACTTCTTGTAGCAGATTACTCCAAAAAAATTTTCACTAAGAAATCGATGCGATTATATTTACCTCTTTTAATTGCTTTACTTGTTAGTGTTGAGTTTAGCGCTGAAATTAAGATGACAGGCTTGAGTGACTGCTGATCCCCAGTCGCTAGTTCAGGCCGTCGACATATACCTACATTAGTTACACACTTAACGTGAATAATGGGCGCAATAATGGGCTATTTATGAAGCACAACATGAGCTAAATAACAAGTTTCGATCATGTAGAGTTTTGGCTTGCCATGTAAAGTTTCGTACAGATTATATATGGTGCAAAAAACAATTATTGAGCATTTACCATCATTTCATGGTAAGGTCATTCACAGAGGCAGCCGTAACTATATAAACATATGATTGTCTTTAAACGGTATCTTTGTGGCATGTGTCCGAAGTGTCTCTGTGCTTCTTCACGGGGACACCTTTGCCTCTGTCATAGCTTCGGTTAAACTATCAGCACATGGCTTTGTAACTTAGATAAGACTGATCCACGTAGTTTTAATCAGCATCAGTCTTCAATGACTCGACACATGTGATAAGACATTCTCAAGTTCAATTGCGTGTAAGGCTCACCCACATTAAGTCGAGCTTAGCGGAAAAGTGTTTTCCTAAAAGTGCTTTCTTTAATAATTATATTGTCAGCTGAACTTTCAGCTCTGTGACATGTCATCGAATGTATGGACATATTATTTAGTTAACGGAGGATATTGTGTATTGTTTCCATGAAAGACGCATATATCTGTGGGTGCTCTACGAACCATAATATGATCTGGCCTAGCGTATGAGTCGGGCATAAAACTTATCAGACTCAGATATAAGTGTTAAAAGAACATACGCATCTATAGACAGATAAAATAACATTGTTAGGAAGCTAGACCCGTTAGTTCCTCTGTTTTGTTTCAGTAGAGGCGATCATGCACTTCTAGCTCAATGTAATTTTATTGATTGAAAAATATTATTAAAAAAAAAAAATATGAAAATGATCATTTTCATCAAACGTATCAAATTATTTTATATAGCTTTCAAATTGGTACGGGTGGCTAATGCGTTTTACTTCGTACAATCCAAAAAAAACCAGTTAAGCGTAAAGCTTGCTGCCATTACCGTACAACACGCTTGGCCCTCAATCCTCACTAACAAGCCTCCAGAATACCTTTACACTTGCTGTTAGAGCTTACAAGGTTGGAGCCACCGGCGTCATCGATAATATCATTGAGTGACTTCGTCAACAAGTTTGAGATTGTAGCTTGAAAAATCGGTATTAGTCAAGCTAATGCAACACCCTGGCTTAACCTTAGGTTCAAAACTGGGTGTAGACACATTTGGTTTCAGGCCAACAGCACTTTGAATGGATGCTTCATGGTAGTAAAATCAAAACTAGTATTTAGTCAAACTAGTTCTATTACCGATCCAGCGCCCATGTTGTCTAACTAACAACGACTGAATTCGAGGAATCACATGTGGCCGGCAAAATGTTTTATTAGAAAGTTCTAATTTGATTTTATATCTGCCATGCTTCTGCTATGACCAGGCAGCAATAATAATAGTGTTGGCTCTTCTTTTAGCTTAATTATTGCGCGAAACTTAGCTAACCCAATCAAAAAAATAATCATCATAATCACTTTATACTGCTACCATTGACTAAAGTCACATTACATTGTAGTTTGTATCCTGATGCTCAGCAGAGGTTGTCTTAACGTTTATTTGGTACAGCCCGTGCCAGCACTGTGTACATACTTTTACCTATCACAACTTGTCATTTGTTTTTAAGTTGTTGAACGATATAAGAGAACAACTATTTTATACTTAAAACAATGCACTTTGTGTACTAAGTTTAATATAAATATAATAAAAAACATGTATTTAACGTAAAGCACGAATAGTGCTATAAACAATTTGTCGTCAATCGGAGTCGTTAGTTTCGCCTAATTATATATATATATATATATATTAGGCTCTCCTTTTTAATATGATTACGCAATATGGATTATTTTACCTTATCTTCTGTGCCCTGCACATTATTGTTTCTATCATTACTATAGGAGAACAACTGTATGTACGGCCATTTAGAAAGCCGTTCATAAATATGACATTTAAAGCAATCGGATTCGTGCAGTTTTTCATTGATCTAAAAAAGTGTGTTTCTATATTTGCTGTTTGTTTGTCTGTTGTTAAAAGTTGTTCCCGACATAATTCTGCTTAAAATAATGCTTTATCTTCTTCACATCACAGATGTAAATATGGCCATGTATTAAATAAGTGAAGTTATTTTAGGAAATTAAAGTTCAACAAAACCAAAAGAAAAAGTTATGAAAGGCTGTTTTCCGTGAGATCTTGTTCTAAATTGTTCTATCCCGATTGATGATAACGCATTGTTAACCGTAATTCTTTCCGTAATGCAAAACATAAGACAACAAATAGTTTTAAGAAATGTCGAAAAAGATTACTAGGATTATTATCTTAACGAATTTGCTTGACCACTTAATTATGGCCTACAACTTACGCCAGCAGTCAACAACAGAAGGTAATTTATTAATAGTTCTTTGCTATTCCTTATTTTCAACGCACACGACGGGAACCGTATGGATTAATAATGTAGTAAAAATAAAAATCCAAAAATACATCCGGTGCATAGAATTTATTTTTAGGTCGGGTCTAATCCACAAGTATGGAGTATGTAAATAAAATACCAGCTTCAGCTTGATTTTCATTTAAAGCAGTTTTATTTTAGTCTAAATGTATTAATCATTCTATTCATATTTTTGCATATACAAGCTAGTTAGTAGTAACATAACCTCAAATAATGCTATATTTTACATTTGCCTTAAGATTACTTCAATGGTAAAAAAACAGAGGATTACCCATTTAAGCTTTTGTTGATAATACTATTCATTTTTTACTCGGCTTTGCCGACAACTTATGTACGTATATAAAAGTGTACTTAAAATGGAATAATAAGTAAAATATATAACTTTAATAATACATTTAAATATCTAAGATTGGATAACATCTAGGAAATGCACAAAAAGTACACGAAAAATTCTGAGCATAAAAGCGGCTGGATATGTTCAGCTTGAAGTGCCACGATCGTGACCACCGGTCTGATCTGTACACGCACACAGGGATACCGTCTTTGGCCCGAAAAATTATTCTGGCCATTTTTGCGATGCAACAAAAAAGATTTTTGTCGAAGAGCATTATTTAAACGGATCCAAGACACAGCATATTATTCAATCATTCACTTTGGTGCACACATCCTGCCGGCGTGGTTAAAATGTATGCTCTAGTTTTTAGCAGACACCTCGTTTGCTCGATCGAGCCTCAAGCTATTCTAGCAAAAGTGTAACCTACATCTATTTATGGTGCGCCGGAGGGGGTCCTTTGAAAAAGTCGATATGTTCCATTCCTTCGGGCATACAGGATCCGTACTCGCCTTTTGCATAGCCAAGTTCCCTCATTAGCTTTGTTGGAGCATTCCTAAATGTAGTGAATCGGTAAATAAAAAACAGATAGTAAATTTGCTATTTAAGAACCCAGATAATATTCTCGAAACAGTACCGAACGCGTTTACTCATATACATTCAATGCCCAGCATTTTGCCAGTCACTTTAAGAACCCATTAGCTAGTCGCTCTAACTTTATCCATTAGCCCTATTCTTAGGATCGCAGCAAAAGCACCTTCCAGTAACTTTGCTAAGATTAGTGGTGGTTCCAGACTTTCTCATAGACAGATTTCGTTAGCTTTATAGATCTAAGTCCGAATGGCAAATGCCGCTCATTGAACTTAAAGATGAGCAGAATCTGCGGAAATACCATAGCATAGTCTTATTAATGGTCTTACCGTATTGATAAAGGGATCGCAGGGTGTGGCCCTTCGAATTCTCTGACGAAAATTTCTGCCCGGCCATAGGCATCGTAGGTCTCGCGCGACTTCGGTGCGCGTGCGAACTGCACTGTGCAATGCGAAAGCATGATCTATGTTCCAAATTGAGAAATTTAAAAATTAAGCTTACTTCGTTGATGTTGTTTTTATTTACGTGGGAAGGTTTCTTCCGTCGTAGCGGAAGCTATGCCGGCTTCTTTAAGCAGCTAAGTTTCTTTTAAGCAGCTAAGGTTGCCGTTATTTACTCCTGAGGATTAATCTATTTTTCAAAATTATTTGTAGCTCCCATCGATCATCTATTTCATTTACTATTTTTCTATTTCGATACCATAAACTGTTTCGTCAAGCTACTATTTGACGTAAAACCTAAGAGCAATGTAACGCCATTACCCTGCATTCAGGCATTCCAATTTTTTCGCAGGATTGGTGTGTTGCGGCAGCCAGGCTTAACATTGTTGGGTCGGCTAAACCGATGTCTTCTGATGCAAATACCTAAAAACGACAATGGATGCTCCTCAGGTTACGCTTATCAAATCATCACGACTGTCATCGCCAGGAGTGCTATTTTTCATTCCGAGAGAAAGAACCGAGAGAAATAAATTGTTAATGGACAGCACCACACAAACATACCATGAGTCTCCTGGCTATAAAACGAGGATCTTCGCCGCCGTTTAGCATTCTAGCGAGGTAGTACAAAGCTGCGTTTTCTTTTCCAAATCGCATCGATTTATGGAACGCCGATATTGTGTCATAATGCATATCGCCTGGAATCAGCATTCGGCGCTCGTTTTTAGAGAAATAAACAATAATCAAGATATCCTCTATACTCAGTTGGTAGAAGATAATTTTTTAATGATATTGATTAAAAACAAAACATAGTGTTAAGCTATTACAAATGAAGCCGGCGGACTTTGAAATAAATAACTTTGGACCTAATTGGAAGAGAATAATGATTAACGTATGTTGCAAATACTCTCATTTTTTTTATACACCCCGCCGCTGTGGCGGCTTCTGGACAGCCATCTACCTATCATTCGCTTTCCCACGTGCAGTTTCTCTATTTATGGCTTCTTTAAGTAAATAGATAATGAACTACACTTGCTTACCAGTTGCCCTTCTTGGGAGATGGAAAGTTCTATAATCACACGGGATGACGGCTTCACCAGGTGACTCTCTCCTGGATTGGGAAAGTAGGCTGGTGAGGCCGACGTTGAATATTTTTGTACTTAATTAGGGAAGTAATCAAGGCACGGCGATGGTGTCTGGCATTGTTATCAAGTAACTAGAATGCGTGCTTCATATTGCCATGGCAATAGTCTATGAATTTTTTGAAGAACTCGAGATAGCGGGCTGTAATCATTACATCATTTTTCTAAAAGTATCTTATAGTAGCAGATACCTCTGATGTCCATTACAAGTACTACCATCACATTATATATGAACATACTCGACACTGCCACCAATTCTGCTTTCTCTACAGAATAACGCCATTTTCTCGCCTGATACATGTCTATGACAGTTAAGATTAAACCATGTTTTGTATACGGCGACCGCATGTTCCAAGCGGATTTTTGATCCAGTCACGATCCACAAGTTGCACCTAAGATACACCATACGCACCTTCAGCTGGCCTGGAGTCAATTCACGGGAATCCTTTTTCTTCCAGTTTGTGCATTTTCAGTGTTCAAATTACTATTCCAGGTCTCGTTACATGGGAAATATCATTTTTGGCCGACTAAGCCTTTTCGATTACGACAATACGTTCTGGGCTTTCGTATCGCGGTAACTGGTCACCTTAATTATCGTTAACACTCCAACCTTTGTTTTTGAAATGTTTGCTTAACTCACCCACTATACTCTCTTTTAAGGTCTCCGTACCTAGTACAGTCACCAAGCTTCGACTTTTCCGCAGCGGTGTGATCTTCGAGGAACATGTGACGACTGAGTGTTGATTTTCAAGCCTAAAAAATATTTCCCCTTTTGGAGTATACTCGAGCGGTTTTTATTTACAATTGCTAGAAATTTGGAGTCATTAGCAGTCAAATTCCGTCTGCTAGCGGCGCGTAGTTCAAAAGTTATTCAATTTCAAAGTTCGCTTGTAACAGCCTAATTAATTAATTATAGTAAGTAAGTAAATGACGCAGCTGACCTTTTCTATCGTAAAGAAAGTGTGTTTTTTTAAGACTGCTTTTAATATCTTCTTTCGTGATAACGTAATCTGCGACGTCACGAAATCCGTCGACAGCTGTCTGAAGCGAATTTAATGCAGTGCGACAATCACCATCACTGACAGCCACTACGAAGTCAATAGCGGACTGAGTAATTGATAAGCCACCTAGAATATAGTGGAGATTAATAAAATCAACTCGTTTAGACGGTTCTGGATCAACTATGACTATAGTCAGTAGGTAGCAGATTTGATGCAGACTATTTGTTAGAATTAACAACCGTAATCCTTGGTCCACCTCAGTCTAAAGGTTTTGTAACGCCACTCAACAATAGCAACTAATGCCCTTTTTCAGAACTAAACTTCACTAGAACTGTTGGCTAGTTCTAAGTCGCGCTTCAGCAATAAAAAAATAAAAAAAAAGTAACAAAAACGATTCGTAACTCCACAGTCATTTCAACTACCTTTTACGCTGGCGGTCTCTTTGTTATCCTGAATGATGTTGACTTCGAGAAATTCTAGCGCACGAAGCACAATTGTTTTAATATTTTCTGATGACAGCTTCTCCAACACGATCGTTTTACCTATGTTTTACATGTGAAACGCGCAACGAATTCTCAGTATCCAATATTCCTCGAAGCATTAAGTTGGATGTACCAAATTACTTTTACTCACTACAGAATATAAGACGGTACGTCTCCTAAAGGATGTAAGCATACTAAAAAATGGTTGAAAGAAATTAAGCTAGATATGTTAATCAATTTTTCAAATATCCGAAACGAAATTAGTTGTTAGCGTACATCTTGAAAGGAGTGCAGAGTTAAGTGAGAATGACGGATTTTCGGTGGTTGCACCTATTAGCGTGATAATGCCTTTCTCTACAAAAGGTAAGAAAACGTCCTGAAACATTGGCATAATGCAAAAACGATGTTAGTGGTGTACATTGTCTTCTTAACATGGCTTAGTGATACGATTAATGCACTTTCATTTCGTATTCCCAATAATAAGGGGATGAGATACACTCACGAACCTTATTATGATCAGTTCGGATTCATGAGAATCCAGTGATGATAACAATATGCCTCTATAATTCTCAAATGTACCCAATACGAGTATACCTGTTGGGCCTTATTAAATCGATGGATCTCGTCGAGAAATAGAATCGTTTTAGCTTGAAACATTTTCTGATCAGTCTGGGCTTTGCTTACGATGTCCTTTACATCTTTGGTTCCGGAAGCCACTGCAGAGAGTGTCACAAATTTTGTGCCGCGCTCCCGGCTGTGACTCGCAATTATATGCGCCAGTGTTGTCTTTAAAGTAAGAAGTTACAATACAGTTATTATTATTTTATATATTATTAGTTATTAACAAACTAATAGTTTTACCATAACTGTAAACGTATTTCAATATTTGAATAGAATATTAAAGGAAACCATAGTGTCGATCATAAGCACTCAAGCAATAAGTTCTTATGTTAGCAACATTTGCTACCATGTAATACACGAGCATGCATAGTAAAGCAACCAGAAAAGTGGAAAAACGAATATTTCATCCCGACCTTGCCGCAGCCTGGTGGTCCCCAAAGAATAATAGATGGCATGTACTCGCTGTTAATAAGTTTCCGTAGAAGAGTCTTTTCTCCTACAACGTCATCTTGACCTACATAGCCATCAAGTCTCGTCGGACGCATAACCTTCAAGAAATAGTCATAACCCTTAGAAATTCCGGTTCAACTTACACCAGGATATCAAGCTTATAATCGTTGTACTTTGAATTTATGAATTTATTTATTTGAAAAGTTTATGATCATTAATGTAGTCTTCTTTAAAGAGTTATTAAGCGGGGACTAGTGATGAAATCATCAATAGTGTGCACTATGTACAATTAGAACCAATTTCATACCTCAGCTAATGGTTTGAACTTAGTATCCTTTGTTTGTTTGTCACCTATTGACGATCTGCTCAGCACAGCGGCTGAGTCAGGACACGACATTCCGTTCACGAAGCTTGATGATGTGCCAGCTTGACCGAATTTGTTTTTTTTCGATTCCGCTCGATCTAAAGTTATAACAAGTTGTCCTTAATATAAAGTTGTCCTAAATATATAAATACAGTATAAATTTCTGGTACTTTAGCTCGCTATGGACATCTAGCTACGTTCGGCTTCTAGATAAAGGTCGACGTAGTATTAATGTAGAAGAATGAATCGACTTACGAAAAGGCATTATTTTGCCGTATTATTTTATACTTACTCAAAATCAATAGATGTTTTCCTAATTCATATATAGCATTACCATTTATAGATCCTTCCTCAAATTTGACAATGTCGTCTTTTGGTGAGCCAGAGTCGTCTTCTAAGTCTATAATGTCTGTTCGAAATTTCTTTGCGGAGGAAGACGTCCAAGATATACGGGTATCTTTCTTCTGGGTTCGAGATTGAAAAAATGGGTGGATTGTCGTGCTGTTGAGACTCTGTACGAATTTGTCATAAATTACAATTTTAGTTCATCAGCATACTTACGACTTGCTGGTATTGGCTAGGTTAAGCATAGCTAAGGTTGCAATCTTTTGGTCTGCTAGTATTTTTAGGATTGTACAGCCCTCGCAGGAAATAGATGCTACTACTATCCCTCAAAAAAGTATAGGATCTACCGGGTCCAACTCAGACCTTTGAGGTTGACGAGCCTTTGGGGGTGTTGGGTGGAGATATGCTAGTGGCGGAGACTGTTCCGGTTTTTTTTTTTCTCGATGGTGACTTTCGAGGAGAGTCCTTTGGACTCTTTGAATTTTTCTGTGAAGTTCCCGTCTTTAAACAGCGATCTAGATGCTGATTGATTAGGTCCGAAACGACTAGCTGATTACAGACCGGACACTCCGTTGACGACAATGAACCAGCATTTTTTTTAGCTTCAGTTGACGAAGACATTATGGCGTCGACGAGCACAACACCTTCAACAGCTCTATTGATATACAGTGGAAAGCCAAACACATAGTATTCATTGATATAGTGTATTTGGCGTATAGTTGGCGTACAACAAAACGTTTAAGTACGTTGAATATATTTTTGTTCCAAAAAAGATGAAAACCATTTACCGATAGCAAGAAAATTTAATTGGAAAGTAGAGTCAGTCGCTCATTCCTAAGCCTTTGACAATTCCTATTAATCTCATAATAGGACCTTCTCTTTATTGTTTTATACTCACAACATAACCTAAGCTATAAAGTTGAGGCAATCACTACGTGTACTAATATAATTATTATTTGGGAAAACTAGACTCAAATGATCTTTCCACGTGTGCCATAACGAAAGCTCAGGATTTTTTTGCTTCCCAAGTGTGAATTATAAGTTGAGACTTCAACATCTGTAAACATGCACAGTTCGCTAGCGGCCCACACGATACAGATTGCAGCAAGGTGTATTACTAACTTTTAGTATAATATGATCATGTTCTCAGAATGAGCTAAATAAAGCTGTTGTTTAGTTAGCTATTATTAGTATTAACAAAGACACCAATTTTCTTTTAGCATAGAATCTTCGTTGCCTTAAGAGTAGCTAGCTTTTTGACCAACAAGTCTGGACTTGAATGGCAAGTGGCACCATTATAGAACAGGAATGAACAAAATCGAATGTATGCAAGGACGAACCGCCTGTTAACCGGTCAAGCCACTCAAAGTGCGCCGATGTTCATAAATAAAACCTTTAATAGCGCAGTTTGATGTGCTTTGTGCTGTCTCGTATTCGACTATGCACCGTATATTAAAAATGGCACACAAAAAGCGAATACCCCTGCATCCAGAAGAAAGTTATAAGCATTCATTTACAAATCAGTAGGTTGGATCTTAAAAGTCAAGCGGTAAACTTCTACGAACAAGCACATGTTTGCTTTCCGCGTTACTGATGCTTGTTCAGATAACCCAATTGATCTTGTATTTTTCAGCCACGTAGGCGTAAGTTTCTATTCTCTCGGACGTTCACCAGTGACAAGCAGAATAGCTGTGTACTAAAAGTGGACCTTATAATATAAACATCTTTATACAGTTGTTCTGCTCAGAAAAAAAGACAATACGAAAGTAATTTGAGTTCTGGCTGAATCTGTTCTTTGTCGCAGTACGGCCTTATTGCAAAAAAAATCAATATACCAGGCATACCAATATGTCCATCATAATTTGTCCAACTGGACGTTTCTTCTCTCACCAATGCGCCATTTTTCTTTGAGCTGAGTGACATCGAAGCCCGAGTATAGTCATTCGGTACTTCTAATATAGGAAGGCCCATTGTTTTTACTAAATTTGACCAGGCGATTGCCACAATCAATTAGCAGAAGTAAATTGGTAAAGCTAGAGGATTCAAAACATCTAGCGATTACAAAGCCGTAACTAATTCTACCTAGTGCTATGAGAACAGCGCACCCGTAGGAATCGAAACTCTGCATTAGCTCACGATTTGCACGTGTTGAAGATCTCTGTATAGCTTTTTTACACTAAGGTCGTTTGTAGTACTATATATATATAATACTTTATTTACAAAGAAATTTTGCTTGTTGCTAAACAAAAAACCGTTGAACTTCAGAATAAATTATTTTAATATTAATGATATTTTAAGAAATATTTTCAGGTTTAATACAATTGTAGTACAATTTCGTAATATAAATAAAACATCACACCTAAACAGAGTAATGTCAAAAGTCGTTGTTAGCCAGTCGCGTAGGACTACAATAATAGCATAATCTTACATTATTTTCTTCTAGGAGTTGACAATGTTCCAACAAATAAAGTGAAAAGATCTTGCTTCTTTTACAAGTTGCATTGTGCAAAACAAATAAGAAGTTATTCAATATCGTTGCATTGTGAAGAGGTGTAGTTAAATTTCCACATGGTACTGACGTGTCGCTAAACCCAAGCGCGTGTTCTTTACTGGATTTATATACTGGTGGTGTATATAAATTTAATAGTTTACACTTTGATTGTTAAAATTATCTTTAAAATTAAATTCTTACTGCATATAATTCTTGCTCTAATCAAAACGTGCTATGTAATCTTTATTTGAAACTAAATAGCATTTTGTCAATCAACAATCTAACAAAGTCTTTGAACTCATGTGGCCCCTTTTGACGGTTATTGATGTCAGGTGACTTGGCTAATCAAAACTTATCGTTACTTCCTATCTCTACGGCTTCGAAGCAAAGCTGTGTTTGTTTGAATGTGTTAAGTTGCACCTTCTCCATGCTAAATTTAATTAGGTTCATTCCCATAAGTTTCGAGAACTGTATATTCTACTGTCGCATAGTCTAGCAACGTTATAAAAATTATATCTTGCATCTAAATCAACGTTCCGGTGTATGTGTGTGGTAACTTAATAGTGACAGCTGCTTCTTAGTGTTTCTTAAGTTCCAGCTAATAGCATCATAA